GAAAACTGGCATATCCTTATAGGTCTAATTTTCCGCAAAAAAAAAGTTTTGCCCAATTTATTAACTATGTTCTGGTCCAAAGTGTAATATTACCCATTGATATACCATCTCTAGACCGTAGACTCATGCTAGCCAATGAAGCGAAGCTAGTTAATATTTGCCTTTGGAGAATGTCGTTATTCACCCAGCATCTTATCGTCGCAGGCTTTTCCAGGAAAGTCTTTTAAAACGTTGCTAAGTCGCTGCATGCAAATTTGATGCCCACATTAGATTAGTTTATTGTAGTGCTCGGTAGTGATTGTTATTGCCTTTGGTGTCCGTAATAAAAGCGCCCACAATTGCAGGCGGACTCTCGATAAGAAAAGCTCCCACTGCGCTTTATAGCCGCCAATCCGTTGAGATTTCTTGGGGCTTCTCGGATTTACCCGATTTCGCTTGCTTTATTTTATTTTGTATTCGCTTCCTTTGGCGGTATCAATAAAATTGCGGTCATAAACTGTGACCGTAATGGTCTTTAGTCTCTGCCACGCCCCTTTTTTTCCGGCTCGTAGCAAGTCACTCAATCATGTGGCACACTTACTTGCCTCGCTTACAATTTTCTCCTGACTTATTTTGGGCTTCCCTTTTTTGTATTTGGCTGCCATGTAATGAGCTTGTTTGCCCAAGATTTTGGCCCTCAGATTTGCCTAAGCGTTTTTTGCTTCCTTCAGTTGGCTGCGAGGAAATTTAGCATTTCGGATTTGGGCGCTGCTAAAGTGGAACATCTTGGTCCTGTTTGAGGGGAAACTCACCAAGTGGGCAAGAACCGAAATTTGTTAGGCCCCTAAGGTTTTGCTGGCGTGCAAAAGCTCCTCACTTGGTGAGTTATCGTTAGGCAAAATATTCTTAAGTGCTGGATTTTTACAAGCAAGAAATCTTTTCGCAAAAAGAAAATGTCTTAAAAGTATTTTTGTAGACTTGGAAAAAAAATTGTTTTTAAATACTGCAAAACAAAAAGTAATATCAACATTTTGTATTTTTGAACTCCTTGCTATGAATTTAAAAGCACTAATAAAATCGCAATACTCTCTGTATAGGATCGTATCGAGTTATGGGTAATGTCAGAATATCAAATTATTTTAACAATATTTTAATAAAATACCTATTAAACCTATTAAAATATAATATTTTTATATTTTCGTCAAAGATTTAAAAAAAATAATTTTTTTAAGTTTACTGAGACTTTAATGTTTGCTTAGTTTAGACGACCTTGCAAAGTTGCCTTTAAATTCCAGACTCCATTTTCTCTTTAACGGGTTGTCTAGGAAAGGCCATGTGATCTGATCCTTTCCCCTTTGGCTAGTGGCATGTAAGCCGGGGGCGAACAAATAAAGCCACACAGACATATCAGACACATCAGCCGGGATAAGTTTTGTGTCTGGCTTAGCCAACTTTGCCGCTTTCCGTTGGCCTTGCCGCATTTGTCAATTTGTTGTTTTGGATGCATCTCCTGCCTTTGTGGCACGTAGCCGTCGACTGTTAATGACTTTTGGCAAAACAACAAGTCACAGAAGTTTATGACAAACCCTTAGATAAATTCTTTCACTCACAGTTGCGGTTAAAGAACTATAGATCAATAAAAATGGAAATAATAAGACATTAAGATTAAATTGTTATTGACTTATACAAGAAGTTCTCCGTAATTTTATTATATATTGTACTATAAACAAACTTATTTATTGGTAAGGATCCTAAAAGACTTATAAGGATACCAAAAGATTTATAAGAATAGCGATGAATACAATGAATCACTTAACGTATATTCTTTTTCTTCTTATTTCTTATTTAAAACACTTCAAATGTAAAAAAAATGGTGTAGTTCCAGATTACATTTAAAATTGTTTACGATTCAGTTAACTACAATAAATATGACTTCTAGGAATTTGACCGTGGCTGTATGATGTGCCAAGTGTGTGTTTCCTCGTTTATGTGTTTTCTTTATCTTAGTTCAACGTTGCGTCAAACTTAACTAGCCAAACAATTATTTCCAACGCTTTTGTGCACTCCCCTTCTCTTTCTGCAATTCTATTTCGCATTGCTGCTATCTCTTTCACTTCCGCCCAGAAGCCAAAAGTGCTCCTTATTGCTTGTTACATAAATATTTCATTAAAAGCCATTCATAACCAAGCATTCGGTGTTGACAGCCGCCTCCTGCCATCAACGCCCACCACGTGTCCAGCCGAAAGAGCACGGCGGAGAAAGAGACGGCTGCAGGCAAACGAAAGAGACGGGGAGATCACGGAGAAGGAGAGAGAAAGCTTTTCACCACATTTCTGTGTAAACAAGTCGCTGGCGTGTTGGAATTGTTGCTGCAACTTCTGTGCAACACCGCTCACTCTGAAATGTCAAATGCCAAGGATGAGGCTGGGCCAAATTAAATTCGAGCTACAAGTTGGTTGGAATATTAAAGTGTATGGCGGTTGGCCGCAGGCGAAAGTTCATCAACTTATGGATTACTAATTCTAGCTCTCGTGTAAAACTATTTAATTGTGTATGATTTATGACTGTTCTCTGATAGACATTGAACATTTTCAGATTATCTGTGCCTGCACTACCCTCTTATTAAATGTTAAGTTAAGGCTAAGAAAAATAAATACTATTCAACAAATTTTAAATAATAGACGCATGTTCGTGTTTTTTATCCTATATTGTTTGTCTTTTTTAAATGATACAGTCAAAATAATTTAAAATAAATTAAAATAAAAAATAAAAATAAAATAATAATAAATCAAAATAAATTCAAATAAATTAAAATAAGAAATAGCTCATTTTGACATTGAGATAATACAATCAAAAACAAGAAAGGAAGTAAACTTTGGCAAGCCGAAGTTTGTATACCCTTGCAGTTATAATTATTAAATTTTAAAATACAAAAAATGATATTCCCAATAGTATAAGATAATATGTCAAAAAACACCCACCAATTTTTCGATCGTTTAGTTTGTTGCATCTGGGTGCATTCCTAGGTGCATCTGGATTGCATCTGGGTGTATTCCTAGGTGCATCTGGGTGCATTCCTAGGTACATTCCAGGTACATTAAAAAAGAGTGCGTCCAGAATAAGACTAGTTTGTTGCATCTGGGTGCATCTGGGTTTCATGTGGGTGCATTCCTAGGTGCATCTGCGTTGCATCTGGGTGCTTTCCTAGGTACATGTTCCAGGTGCATTAAAAAAGAGTGCGTCCAGAATCAGTCTCGATCATGCTTTTTTATCTATCATTAAAATTGTGGGAGAATTAATTAAAAAATGTTATTTCCAAGCTTAGGAGGTAGGGAGCTATAAGCTATAAGATATAGTTGTCCGATCCGGCTGATTCCGACTTATATACTACCTGCAATAGAAGGAAGACTATTATGAAAGTTTATCCCAATAGCTTTTAAAATGCGTATACGTAACAGAAGCTATGACCGAAAACATATAACCCTTTGCAAGGGTCTAAAAGATCCTTATACTGGGGAGTATCATTTGGGGCTCGTTTTAAATGCAATACTGATTTCCAGAAGAACTTAAAATAGGCTCTAGTCAAGACTTGAACCCCAGCTAGCCTAAAAGCATGCTTTGTGAGATTCTGCAACATCTTTGATAGCGTACACTCGTTCTGATAGTATTTAGCCAGCCATCAGCCGGCGCGATTCGGTTGAATCGGAATGGATCGGTATGGATCGTGGGGTTTTGGAAGAACAATCACCCACTCGGCCTAGTCGCGCGTTCATCGTTGGGCGCATCGGTTGTCGCCGACTTCAAATCGCATTATGTCTGCCCAACTGGAGAGCAACAATGCCAGTGAAAATAATAACAATAGCGTCAAGGATGTCAGACTCCTGCTGCTGCCAGAGACTTCTTCGGATGGCAATCCGGCGAGTGTCATTTCCCGCTCCGAATTGCAAAAGAATTTCATTGATGACCTGACACGAACGGTTGACGTGGGCCATGTGGGGAGGAAGCGAGTGCGGCGGGTGCCCTGGTTTATTTTGCTGATGTGTTTTATGCAGGTTCGATTTTATGCAGTTGCTCCACTTGTTCGATTGTCTCGTTTTTTTTCCTTACCCGGCCACGAGTCGAATGAGTGATGTGTGTGTTTGCAGAAAATCATTTTCGAGCGCCGGAAAGCTTTTAATAGATAAGAAAATACGAAATCTAATAAATTACCTGTGAAGATGTCAAAGGTGAAAATATTTGTGGTGCCTATAATAAAACTATTTGATTGCCACAAATTCAATTATATATTTCGTGTTATGTGCTTGTTTGCTTCAAGATGATAAGAGAATTCGATTCTTTTGAAAATATACTTCTAAGATTGTGCTTATGTGCCCCAAAAAACCCAAGTTCAATGAGCAATTTAATGAATTACCCAATAAAAAACAAATTAATGTAAACATTTTATAGAAAGGCCATTTTTTAGCTGACTTTTAAATGAATACCAACATTTCACTTAAGAGTAATTAATAGTGCTAAAGTGAATGAGTGCATATTTAGTAAACTTTCGCTGCTGATAAGCTCTTAATTCAACTTATTTTTGTATTGAACAAACTGAGCAGCAGTGAATTCAAACATTTTTGTTTATCATCCCGCATCTTAATATTGCTTTTTTCACTTGATTTGTTTTAAACAAAACAATTTCTTTGTTTTTGCTTGGCTTACACGTGGATGGTACCATTGTGTGTGCTCTATAAATGAGTGCTCTTTAATTCACTTGAATTTTCATTCACTGGAAAATTATTTCAATCGTTTGTTTGTATTTCGAACTAAGCAGAAAATTATTGATAGATCGTATTAATTTTTATATTTATTTCTTTCTAAACAAGATATCAAGTATATTTATTCATAACAAGTACTAAACTTGCAATTGGCTAATGGTTTGTTATTGGTTCTGTACACAAATTGACTAGAACATAGAACTTTTTTACCTAGATAACCTATATTTATTTGCAGTGAATCAAAACTGTAGTCGGTTAAGTAATAATTTAAATCGAATTAGTCCTATGGATTAGTTCTTGAAGTTAGTTCTTTGTAATTCCTGTCAACAAGTGTTCAACCGCTTGATTACTAATTGGCTCTTGGCCAACACCGCTGCCCAACAAAGTCCCACAAGTGTGACCCATTTAGAGCAACACTCATTAATTGATACCTTGCTGCATACTTCAAATACTCACTCTGCACACTCAATAATGCAGATCGGTGATCGGTAAGGTTTTATTGTTAGACCCAACCCACAACTCTGTGATGATTGCACAATCGAACGCGGCGCTGGTCCGATTTAGCTATATTGCCATTTTAGTCATCGAATCGATCGAATGCCGCAACTTGCAGCTCTGGCATTTGTCATATTTGGTGGGATCGGGATGCATGTTGCACCGATTTGGTGTCGCAGCCGTGTTTTTGTGGCTGCTGTCAACTCATGCGGCGCACATTGTGCGGCATCTCAACTCAACACTCGCACTTCTCCGTTGGCCAAGTGTCGATCGATTGAGCGAAAGTGACAGTCAGTTGCCATGACACTGTTCAGCAAAGTTGAGGGTGCTTCGATATGGCAAATGCAACTAACTCTGGTCGATTGCTAACGAAGAAGCTGTGCTTGGCGAGCTGTCAGAAACAGTAATTTCCGGAATTTAGCCCCTTATCGGGTTTTCGAGCCCATGCTTATCCACAGTCTAGAAATTCGTTTGAAATTCGGTAATAATGAATAATGGGAAATGTGATGAAAATGTGAGTCAGTTATAATCTCAGAATTACCCCAACAAAAATTAATTTCAATACATTTAAGTTCCAAGTAAAAGCAAACATGATCTTATCAGTTGACGGTTCCGAACGCGTTTATACTTTAATTTATCAAAATTTATTATTAAAATTTATACAAACACAAGAAGACTTTCTTGAAGTATCTTGTAGTGTGGTGCCAAGTAATTAAAGGTCTTCTCTCTGTCTTTTTTTACACGTTACCAGATATCACTGCACTGGATAGCTAATGAGTGCATGAAAAGAAGACTGATCTTTAAGTCGGAGTGGATCGGCGAGTACTGGCGATTACTGACCTATATGCTGCTTCATTCCGATTATTGGCACCTCACTCTCAACATTTGCCTACAGGTGAGCACCTAAATTCGGTTTTATAAACTTCACATATTTTGTTTAAAACCTAAATAAATTCTTTTTATAAAAGTTAATTCACTTTGGATAGGCGTTGAGCTACACCCTGAAAATACAGTACTTGTTTGAACTTTTATATTTTTAAAGGTGCACAGTTTAGTATATATTTTTTTAATATTTAATGAGAAATACTTTCAAATCAAGATTTAAATTTCTTTTTAAATTCACCTCGTTTAGTTTATTTTATACAATGCTTAATTAAACAAACATGCACGGAAAGTGTTTCTAACATTGTTACGACGCTGACCGAATGTTACGTTGCGATAAACTTATTTATCAGCAACTACACCCGAAATAAAAACTTTTCTTACTTGAAATTATATAAACGCTCTTACCTTTTGAGATATAAAATAGTCTCAATACATTTTTATATATTTCTACAAGTAAAGATTGTTTATGTAAAAAGAAAAATTATTATCAGTAATATACTTTATTTTACAGTATTATTTAATATTAAAAAGTAAAGTGTAGTTCTGCGGAAATGGAACTTCAAAAGATTGAATTCTAAAAAATGTTAAATTACATAATTTAAATTTATTCAGCTTAAAATTTAAATAAACAAATATTAAAATAATTTTTTGGTTGTTTTAAAGTCAATAATTTTTATTCGGATAGTTGCAGTTTTTGAACCAATTTATATGAAGGGTTTGAAGATCTTTGATGTGTTTAATAAACTATACTAATCGCAATAATATAATATCACGCTCTAAATTGATTTTTGTGAAAGGTTTTCTCGGCCAAATGGGCCGACCGCCATGCTTCTATTGGAAGAAACTGTATTAAAGTAATAAAGAAGGCAGTTTACGCGGCTTATAGCCACATAATGATGCACCATCGTGCCCACCTGCTCTAGCATTGTGTTACTAAGAAAGGTTAATGTCTCTGCCAGTGCTTTATAGGTATTTGCCTGGAAGTGGAGCAAGGTCACTGTCGCCTGGCCGTGGTCTATATCGTGGGTGGCGCCGCCGGTTCGTTGGCCAACGCCTGGCTGCAGCCCCATCTCCTCCTGATGGGGGCCTCCGCCGGGGTCTACGCCATGCTGGGGAGTCATGTGCCGCACCTGGTTCTGGTCAGTCAGCTGGAAACCGCAATTTAATTTTGATTTAATGTTTACACGTCTCCCACTTTGTCGAATAGAACTTTTCGCAGTTGTCGCACCGCTTTGCCCGCATCGCCGCCCTGTGCATTTTGTACCTCAGCGATGTGGGTTTCACAATGCACCACTTTTGCCACAATCACAATCGCAATCCGCGGATCAGTCTGGAGGCCCATATTGGAGGGGGCGTGACCGGAATTCTGTGCGGTTTTATCGCCTACCGACGCGTCCGGCCGTCAACTCAAAGAGCCATTTACCTGTAGTCTCAAATAAGGTAACTAGTCTTAAATTGTATAGCTTTAGTTTTAAAATAGTTTGTTATAGTAAATTATGCAATTAAGTCGATTTCACAAGAGTGAAATGTTTGTTTACTTATTATTATAACAAGACAGAATATCAAAACGTATATAAAATACGCAAAATAAATGCATTTAGTGTTCTTAAATAAATTATTTAATAGTTTTTCAAAGATAAGGTTTGCCAATCTACTGATCTTGTAATTGAATATATTTATAAACTAATTTAACTTGTTATTATTCTGACAATCAAGCAATCCTTAATGGAATAGTCAGCAATTATTCCGTTTATATTTTTTATGGACAGTCCCTATTGTTTGGTCACAAAATCCGTTGTTAACTTATTATTATTATTTGTTGGTCATGCATACTTTCGGTGTTATGAATAAACATTTATTTTACACCTCATAAAAGGGTGGGCAATGTTTTATTGCTGGTTTTTATGTGCTGTTCACTCGCCACTGAATTAATTGACCTACACTTGTTAACTGAATGGCGTCTCTATTGAATTAATTGATTACTCATCAAGTGGTTTTGGCTAATTAATGTTTTTAGAGACATAAATTTGGAATTTAAAGGCAGAGATTTCATAAATATTCTGTAGCAAATTTCGATGTGCAATTAAAACGAAAACAATTTGTGGAATGTCTCCCCCAAACTTTGTGATTGGCATGTGAGTGTGCTAATCATTTCTTGCAATTAGATATTTGATAATTAGTTTGAAACAAGGCTAAAACTCGATAAATATTTATAAACATTTCACCAATTTTATCCCTGTTAGATTTTCATGTTTCAGGGCACAGAAATATGAAACTGAAGTTAGGTTCTTTACGAGTTTCATTATTCTTTTTTAAAACTACTGTGGGTCTTATCATAATTATCTTAAATATACCCCTATCCAAAACATAATTAAAGCCAGTTTTTTAATGTATTTTATTATAGCCATTTAATGTATATGTCTTCTTACAATAATCTTAGTTTATGGATTTTATAAATGCCTTGCTAAAGATAAAGATTGTTCTCAAAGGGATTACTTTTTCTATAATACAACTTAGGGTCTAGAGAAGGCCTACACTACCTTTTAGTTAGTTACAGCTAGGGATTAGCATACGAACTACAAACTATTGCTACGAACTGACACTTAACTTCTATACACTCCCGGGGGGATTTCGATCTTGGGGGATATCTAAATTAACAGTCTAATGGGCCGCACTTGACGCCCACCTCGGTGCATTTGCATTCCAGGCACTGGCTGGATAATTCCACGATAATCCGACCCACCCGGTACATGCGTCCGTAAATGTTGCAGCCCGCCAGTTTCAGCTGACCGAGGGGATCATCGCCACCCGGAAATCCTCCTGCTCCGCCACTTCCGTTCCTCTCCCCCGAAACCGAACCCGATCCCAAATCCTGAGGCACATCCTCCGGGGATGTTGCCGGGGGAACGGTTGTCGGAGGTCTTGTTGCATGTTGGTAATGGTGGAATTGCTGCGGTGGCTGCTCATGTTGCTGCTGTTGCTGCGGTGCCTGCAACGCCTGCTGCTGCTGCGGCTGCAATCGGTGCGGTCTTACCTCATAGCTGGTATCCATGAAGGGTAATTTGTCGAACGGGGAGTTTAAAAATGGATGCAGAGTGCTCTTCGTTGTTGTGGGCTGCCCCGTGGTTGTTGACGCAGATGATGCCGATGATGTTGCTGGTGGGGCTCTAGTGGTTGCTGCTGTGCTTTGGCGTCGCGTGGCATTCTGGACTTTGCGTCTATTGCCGTTGGTCTGTTTGTTTTTCGTTTTGCTATTTCCCTTTTTGGCCGGAGCACGTGTCGTCGCTGTTGGCCGACTTGTGGCTGTTGTTGCTGGTGTGCTTGTTGCTGCTGCCGGTGTTGCTGTTGCTGCTGCTGCTGTTGCTGTTGCTACGGATTTTTCCGTTGGCAGTTGCTTAAATGCTGGCACTGTGCTGCTCACTACCTCTTCTTTGGACAACTCCATACCGAGCAGCTCATCCAAGAGCTTATCTAATTTATTGATTTCATATTTATCTATCAAGGGGGTTTCCTTTTCCGTTGTTGTTGGCTTGGTTGTCGTCGTTGTTGTTGTTGTTGTTGTACTGCTGCTGCTGGTTGAGGATTTAGATGAGGCTGTTGAATTGCTGACACTGTATGTGACGGTCTCGATATGCTCTTCGATGGGCTTCTTGTCAACGATTAATTCATCGAGATTGGGCGGCGGCTCAGTGTGTATGACATCCTTGAAAGGATCGGGTGTGGTTATTTCTGAAAGAGGGAAAAACAAGGAAACACTTCAGTTTAATCTGATTCAGACAGCTCTTTTAATCCATTGATTGCCAGAGGTATTACACTCATGTCCTTGGCTAAATCAAAACGAAAAGGGGTTTGGAATTCGAGTGGATGTATTAGTCTGTTTTGTATTAGAACAAACTAGGGAGAGATTGCTATATCTATACCTATACACAACTAATCAAGAACAGAACACTTATAAATAAGATGCTATACAGAAAGTGGTAACCTAAATAACAGTTCTTAAAATCATCCCAAACTCACCTATCGGCGCGGTATCATTTGCCTGTGACCCCGATGTTGTGATATCGATAATGTGCTGCGTAACATGGAAGTTATCAGCTGGTCCATTGATTCCGCTTGAGGTGACATGCTCCTGGAGAACCTCCCCATCGATAACCAGTGGTTCCTTGGGCATGAATCCTCCCTCCGTTTCGGTGGGTGGTGAGAATCCATTGTGAGGGGGCGGCACCACCGGACTATCGAAATCGAAGTTAACGTAAGCCGCACTGCCCTCATATTTCCCACCCACATGAACCACAGGTTCTGGTGCGGATTCCACGGCTGGAACTTCCACATTGAACTTGTACTTGTAGGCAGCCTGATCGGGCTGGGATTGAGAAAATAGAGCCACCGAATCATCAATGGTGTCATATCCAACCACATCCATTTTATCGGAGGCCACTTTCTGCTGATAGAAGTTTGGCGGATACTTTTCCTTGGGAACCGTGTCCACAGCATCGGTTGGGAGGAACGGTATTATTTTCAGATTCGGCAGACTGGGTGGCAATGTGGGTTCACCATTGGTGTCCAGTGGTTCGGCTTCCAAAATACTTGGGTTTGTTTTGATCACCATAGGTTTCGGAGTGCTAGTTACATAAGGTTTGGGCTTTGGCTTAAATTTCGGTTTGCTTGTGGATCGTATAGTGGTTGTTGTTGTTGTGGAAGTGGTTGTGGGTTTCGGAGAAGATGGTAACGGAGTGGTGGGCTTCTGTGTGGTGGGTTTCGGGGTGGTGGGTTTTGGAGTGGTGGACTTTGTTGTTGAAGGTTTTGGAGTAGTTGGCTTGGGTGTTGTAGTTTTCGGTGTGGTTGTAGTTTTTCTCGTAGTCTTCATCTTGGGTTTGACCGTAGTGCTTGGTTTTGCTGTGGTTTTGATGGCAGTATCTAGTTTTGTTCGCTGGGTTGTGCTATTACTTGGTTTTACAGGGGCTTTGACTATTGTGGGGCTAGTGGTTGACCCATTGACCCTCTTATCTGCCGTTCTGTGGGTCACCGGCTGACCATATTTGCTGGTCACCACCAGCATGGGGGGTGTCACCGTGAGATTGGCCAGTTTCGAGTTGATTCGGGTGTGAAGGGGCTTGCCACTCGGCAGGGGTCTAAACATCGGTGGAGCGTGAGTGGTTGGTCTCTCAGTGGTTGTGGTTGTAGTCGTAGAGGTCTGGTTGAGGGGTTCTTCGAGTATACCAGACAAACCATCCATCAAGGCTGTCAATAGACTGGGTTCCTCCTTTCGAGGCGGCATAACCTCGGTGGCTGGTGTTGGCCAAATTCCGGCATTCGCCAGACCAATTTGTTGGGCCTCCGCCGGCAGCTCACCCGCTGCCATTTCTCCGCTGTCCAACTGCTCATCAAAGTCCTCTGCAATGCGCTTTATGCCTTTTGTTGAAGGTCTGAACTCTGCGGCTTGATTCAGTGGGGTACTCGTCTCCGAATACGCTTCCGTTTTGGGGTTCAGGTCCTCCTCATCAGGTCCCAGCAGGATATCCATCCAGGAGAGTGTGTTCTTAGCCGTAGTTGACTCTGGCTGGCTAACTTCTTCGTGCCCCGTGTTCTCCGTAGTGGGACCCAAGAGCAGATCGAAAAAGCTCAGGGCCGTAGTGCTGCTTACCTCCTCACTGGACTCCGTTCTCATCAAAGGTGGTGCTTGCGTGGTTCCAATACCCACAAGGTCCAAATTGTTGGCCAGCATTTTGTTGTTATTTCCATCGATAAACTCAAGACCCTCGCGAAGGGTATCCATAATGCTCTTCTCACTGCTGACCTCCAGGGGATTCCCCGCAGCAGCTCTCGTGGGATGACGATCGTGCGGATATCTCTCGGCCATGGAATTTTGGGGTATCAAAGCTGTCCCCTGTGGCTCCGGCTCCTCCTTGCCAAAGAGCATATTGTACAGATTGAACTGCCTAGAATTGTGCGATCTGCGATAGTCCCGCTGACTGCCACAGTCGTAACTCGATGGGCAGCACTGGCCCTTCGGCACCACCGGAATACAGTTCTTCAGAGCCGGGGAGCACTTCTTGGGGGCACACCGCCTTGTTCCCCGGATGCAGAAGCATATGTCGCAGGGCTTGTCCGCATCCGACCGCATCTTCTGACCCTCTGCGTAGAACTGGGCGCCCACAGTGCAGCCTCGATTGCGCTGCAGACGCTGCGACATGCGCTGGAAGTGCTTGTTCGATGTCTTCCTGTAGCGCACCTCCTGCGAGGACTTCCCCGAGGTCTTGCTACTGCAGTCATATCGTACGGGACAGCAAGTGGAGTCCACGAAAATGGGTTTGCAGCCGTCCACGGGCAGCATGCACTTCGGCTTCACACACTTCTCGGTGCCACCTGATATGGAAAAAGGAAATCAAATTATTAACAAACCTTTTCTGGATACCAAAACTATATGTTCTCACCTATACAATAGCAGTAGCTGCACAAATTCGAAGATGACATTGCAGACCCAGACTTATAGACGGTTCCATTTTTCACACAAACTGTAAACAATAATCGATTTTTAGATTCATTGCTCAATAAAAGTATATCATTTACTCACCGAACAGATCCGTGTCGGAATCATCTGATCGTCTTTGGAGCATATTATCATTGACCACCCGATCGATGGACTCCCTCTCATAGTGATCCAGATACGCGATGATGCGTCGCTTGGTGGGTATCTTGTAGAACGCATCCAATCTGGCGCAGGAAAGATAGGGGCAGCAGGAGCTCTTCTTCTGGACCACTACACAACCTCGGGGCGGTGGCATGGGCATTTCGGGACAGACCTTCAGCCGACACACCAGCGTCTTCCGGTTACACTGGCAACTCAGGCACTTCTCCATGCTGGGCACCACCGATTTGTCCGCGAACCACGTGCCATTGTGGTGACACCCTACGGAAGCAATGTTATAAATTTCCTTATAGTAATGGATTTATTTTTACTTTACAATTCTTTTTTTTTATATCAACAGTCACCACAAATAGTTACCTAACAAAATTTGTAAAGTGCTTTGTATTTATGTGATACGCAAGATGTTAATGGTCATTTCGTTTCCTTAATTATACCATTATTTCCCTTTCTTAGATAGTCTACTTTGGGTAATAAAATTAAAGCATTCTTTTTAGCCCCTTAACAAAATGTAATGGTTTAATACTACATTTAAATCAAGTCTTTAAATAAAAGTGGTGAACGGTCTCGGATTCCCTTTATCTAGTTCACATCTGCCTGAAGCAAGTTTGTGGGATCTGAACACTCTTGTTCTCTAGTTTGACGCTTTTCAGGCTGATACTGCGATTCTGATGAACTTTTCACCAAATGCCCCCATCACAGGCCAGATGCCGGCATGTTGGTCACCCTGCCCTCGGGTTTCATCTGCTGGGACTCGTAAACAGGGTTTCCTTACAGATTCAGACAGAATTGCTGTAACCACATACCGCTTGATTGAAATAATAATTGGTATGCAGGAACAAGAGCGAATCAAGTCCTTGTGGTCAAGTGGGCGTAAGATTTTTAGTTTGCTCAACCCTCTTCTCTTGTGTATAGAGCTTAAAGTGTCACTGAAAAGGGCTTTATTGTAAAGTTTGATACAGCCATTTGATGTAGAGATATCAGTTAGCTGTTGATATTTAATTTACATTTAAAATCAAAAAATAATTTGAATTAAATGGAAACTTTTCAATGACTAACTTATCTTCATAAATATTGTTTGACAAAGAATTTTATTGATTTCCAAGTTTTTCAACTGCATCAAATTTGTTTACATTAACGATATAATATCTAACAAATAATATCTGATAACTCACCTATTTAATATTTTAATTTACCGGTTAAAAACTAAAGAAATATTGCTACTTATTGAGTTTTAGGCTAAACTTTGCATTTGTATTTAGGAACTTTAAAGATAATTTTCTTTAAATGTTGTCTAACTTTGTGGAGAACCCTTAATGAACTAACCCAAAGTATTCGATTCGAAATTATCCACTTTATCGTCTAGTTTTCGTAGAGTCTGCTTCTCACCCAATGCCACACATTTCACAGACATTATCCGCTAGGCCCGTACTCACCTGTATTCGGTGTGATAAATGCATCCAGCTGTGCGGGCCAAAGGAGAAGTAGTGCCGCCGATAATATGCTGACTAAGCGCAGCGTCATCTTCGTTCGTGGATGCCGTTCCCGTTGCGTGGACGTGGATGTGGATGGGGATGCGGTCGATGGCGATGTGCTTGCCGCCGAAGAGCATGAATAATGCAACAGAGCCGACTTTGGACTTGGGCCCAGGCCAGAGCAGAATAATCCCCTGGCTGCCAGTCCCCCTTTGGTGTATCTGTATCTCCCAGATGCGGCAGGGCAGCGCTCCAACTTGTCTGCCGGTGTGGAGAAGAGTCCAACTCTAATGCTCGAATGTGTGTCACGCAGAGGCAACTTTCGAATGACAGCGGCCAACGGTGCGCATGCCCATTTGGCTTAGACTTAGACCAAATTAAACCGAGCTGGAAATTACCCGCACAATTCGCCGGGGCATTGCCACAGGTCGTCGTCGAAGTCGAAGTCGTCGTCGTTACTCGTCGCCAGTGCCAAAGTTCTGCCACACTTTTAATGAACCATATAGATGTACATGTGCGGCGGCGGAAAAAAGAGGAAAATTTGTTCGCTTCACAGCTGCAAAGATACGGAGAAAGACGGAGATGGGGGTAAGTGCTGGTCATTAGTGGTACGATGTTGAATAATGTTGGCGGAACTATGCAACAGGTTGCCGGGGCAAACAACTTCATTTGAATAAACTTTTTTAGAGAGCCAAATGGGCATGCGTGCCTACTTCAAAATACGCAAGAGATTGTGACGATTTATTAAGATGATATAGTTAAACCGCTCAGGTAAAAGCTAAGTGTAGTCTAGTCTACATTAAAGAAACGGAAAAAATTTGAACACTACAAGAGAGAAGAGGATTTTTGTTATAAGCGGAATGTTTCCCAAACTAATGTTAAGACTTGCATTTGTATCTAATTTATACGTATCTATGCCTACTTCAAAATACGCGAGAGATTGTGACGATTTAGTAAGATGATATAGCTAGCAGGCTCAGGTAAAAGCTAAGTGTCTACATTAAAGAAATGGGAAAAATTTGAATACTACAAAAAAAAAGAGGATTTATGTTATAAACAGAATGTTTTCCAAATTAATGTTAAGATTTGCATTTATATCTAATATATACGTATCAAATCAAATTAAGGTAAGCCGCGTTTCAAAGTTATCCTGACATTTAAGACTCTAATTTATTGAGCTTAAGAGAATATCTTAATATGTTAAGCACTTGCTTTAATCCAGGGATTATATACTGAACTGGAAATTGTTTCAATACCCCAAACTTTCTATTCTATATTAATCCCCTTAAGCTCCGGTCAAAAAATACCTGAACACGAAACAGATCTTTCAGCATTTCCCTCTTAATTCCCCCAATAATTTCACACAACTTTATCGCTTTGTTTATCCACTGCACTTCGAATGCTTGGCATAAATTCTCACACGGAAATGGGCCAAACGCAAATGCTGCCAGAATCCATCAGTAAATACACAAATAGAGGAGGCAACAGAGCTTCAGCGACACCAAGCCGAAGTCAAAAATAATATAACTCAAATGAGAGGGGCTCCAAGAACTGGTCGTCTCTGAAGAAGAAAAGTTCTGCCGCAAGTATTCACTTCGCACTCCTCGAAATCCAGCCAGACGCGAGTTGCATGCAAACGCAACAACTGGAAAACAGCCAAACAAACATGAAAATCAAATAAAGCCAGGCGAATGGCGGTCATTGCCAGCGAGAGATCCGCCGGACCGCCAGACTTCTGGCCCCCGAGTTGGCCAAGAACCATCCCCAGACCGTCCAACGGGTATATAACAGCCAGCGGCCAAGAGCCAACTAACAACATACAACTTGCAACTAACAACATACAACAATGTTGTCCACGGACCACTCCGAACTGGCCACTGCAGCCACTTTCATTAAGAACGTGATTAGCAGCGAAAACTCACTGGCATGCAAATGCAAACGAAAAGTCTGGAAAGAACAGGGGAGTTTCTGGTTCTCTAGGATAGAGAAAGATGGGATACTCTGCCAAGCAAATCTGCAAAGCTAAAGTCTCAAATCCAAAAGAAATCTTAAATTTTAAAAAATCTCATCGTTTCTTTAGGCTAAAAGCATATCATAAAATTAAAATGTATAAACACTTCCCAGTTTAGTAGCTCTTTTTACAATTTATGAAAAGTATGTTCTTAACATAAAAAACATATGATATTGGGAGTTTACGACCTACTTTTAAATATACCTATAGATATTTAAAAAGATCTATGTAATTAACAATGGACGCTTATAAAGATTTCTCCATCCTCCCATACTGAATCAGTATATGTTATATCTAGGAAAATGCCTATTTAAAATTAAAAAACATTTGCATTTTATGGATTCAAAAACCTAATATAGCCCTGTTCTTCTTTTAATATGTATTATATAGCCGGAAAATCCTACCCAGTGGCAATACCCCCACTGATCGCTGCAGGAACTCCAGCCGAAAGCGCCGATCTTCTTCGCTTAATTGGAGCTCTCTTTGCATACTGGATTGGTGGGTCCGCGTTGGCCTTGCACAATTTAGTCGCAGTTGGTTCTCATGACAACTTTTAATCAAGTCATTATCTGAATGTCGGGCCACAGGAGATCTATGCTGGAGAAACTTTCACAAGGCACGAAAAAGCAGAAGTCACAGAATAAAGCCGAACGGCAGGCACCGAAAAGAATTTCAGTTTCACACAATAAATCAGCAGCAGTTGACTTTTATTTTGTTGTGGTTGACTCTGCTTTTAATTGAGAGCCACTTGTGGCTCATTTGCATGCCAGCCTCGTGTACTTGGCCATGAAAATGGAGGCTTAGAACACTGGAATGGCTGGCTGCCACTGCGGTGAAATGGATCCAGGCGAAAGCTCTCTTTCGCCGAGGTTGGCCTAGGGCCCGAGATTGCAGTTGGTGAAAATCCCCAGCTTAATTACAGATTTTCCAAAAGCGATTTACATCGGGGCCGGGCCGGGCCAACATAATTCCATAATTTCCGCTGGAGAACCACGCACTCGCAGATATTATCAAGAATCTCTATGGGTATTCCACTATATCCAGAACGTGTGTAAGCCCGGTCGCCTCATAAATAAATTACAGTAATTACATGAGCAAAGACAAAACCGAACCGAACCAAAAGAAAGCGAGGCTGTGGGAGCAAATGCCACTCAGGTGTCCAACACACAAGAACCTCGTATAATGGGGCCAAGCAATTACGCCCAGACAACTTTATTTATATACTCTTTCTTCATTTTGGCTCGACCATACACTGCACGAAATTAATCAAGTAATTTATTTGACTGCCCCCGGGGTTCAAAGCGAAAGTGTTGAGATTTAAAGTCTCTGATTGCTCGATTAGTTAATCACAATGCCGAGTTCGCCTCTTTTCATCAACCCAGTTTGCCGGGGATCCGAAGAAATTAAAAGTTTTTAGGGTTTCAGTTTCATTAACCTAGTTGGAAGATTTTGTATAGAAATATTTGACAAAGGTTGTCGGACATTATTTCGGCAGAGAGCTGTAAATCTCGAAAATTATAGTGATTCATAGCAATGTGGGGTAAGTTAGAATTTCAGAATTTCTCCATCGAAAGTTAATCCATCGAGGGTTTGCCATTCACTTTGGGATAATTATGATGATCATTGATATCAATACTTTAAGAGAATATTTTCTCATATTTTCAAAGACAATTTATGGGCATTATAGCCCATAAGGTATTTTGATGTATAGAAGTGCAGTTTCTAATTATTGAGATATTGAAAATAATCTTCCTTTCCTTAATAAAAGGATTTATAATTTTAGGAATGACATAATTTAATAAACTGTAATGTTCAATATAAGATTTAATAAAGTAAACTTTAATATTTCCCTAAATAAATATATACATTTTAAAATAATTTATAGTGTAAAGTCAACATAAGATTAATTATTAAGTCCAAGTCGAGTTTCTCCTCCGAATGTAACATCTTTGTTTTGCAAAATTGAAGACACACATGTTCATTCAAAGAAATCAACCCAATTAACTAGTTCGACTAGTCCCGAATCGCCACAATACCACTCGGCTGACAATAAATTCTCCACTTGAGCCAAAATAGAGCTCTAAGTCGAACTGTAGCCGTGACATCGATTCGGCAACAATAAAATTGGGTATTGAGCATTCGCATCTGATAGATACTTTGTTGGCCCGTCCGTTGGACCATTTGACACAGTAGCAACGCCCCACTGACAGATTTATTTATCTGGCTTTTCGGGAAGGCGATGGAGCACTAGCACTCCCTCCATATTTGGACGTTGATTTGTGAAAGGCGAAAAGCAAAACCAAAGTCGAGTGCAACATTTTGCGTTGTTTTCATTCGGATCTCCTTTGGATCTGGCCTTTGTTTTGTGACTACTGGGCATATTTTTGGGCGCATTCTAAACTTATAATTTGTAACAACTTTCACCGAGCGATCGTGGCAGGCACAACTAGCACTTAGGATTATGTAAATCTCGACCAGGCAGAAAATCTAATAACAATGCAGAGCTCCGGAAAGTGAGGTACGGATGAAAAGAGAAATACTGTGCCCGAGATTCAGATCTGGGCCTATTTTCACTTTTGCAAATCGTCTTAGAACACGGAACACGAATAGAAATCGAAGTCAGTGCGAGTCAATAAGCGATCATTGAGAATTGAAACGTGAGCATGACTACACTAGTCAGCAAAAGCGAGACCGCCGATCTTATTCTTTATAGGTATTTTGTTAATGGAACTCCAAAGATACTGTAGGGATAAAATAGAATGTTCTAATTAGGGATATCTTCATCTTAACTGTCAAAAAATCTGTATAGATAAGAACATTTATAGTCTTAATAGGTATAATTGTTTGCATTCAAGTGTATTTCTCTTTCTTTTCTCAACAATTTGTAATGCTTTTAATAACCACATTTGCATATCAGCTCGTGTGTGCGGCTTCATCATAGAGTGAAATTTGTGTCATCATAATTGAAGAAATGCCAACACGCTTCAACTTCAGTTTCACAGCCAGAAAATAAATTTGGCAATACTTCAGCCATTGAAATGATTCCAGCATAAAGCACATGCCAAACTACTCTGGTAAAAAAAGGCAAGCAAAAAACCTGACTTACAGACTGTCAGAGCCATCAACATGTGTGGCTCATTAAATATTCTGCGAACACACAACAAGTACAAGAAAAGCAGCGAGAACGGAGGAGTTTGAACAATTTTCATGTCCAACTCTATTGAGGCGACTACTTCTCTTGGCAGTACACATTAAAAAATATTTTTTTTTAATTTAAAGTCCTTTCTATTTTAACTTAGTACATACAGTAGCTTCATTCAATTAATACCAAAGATCAATAATATATATGAAGGCCAAAGAGCTACGGTATTTACCTATATCATAAAAAATGCATTAAAAGTTTTTTTTTTAATTCTATGTTAGAGAGACATATATAAAAGGTTTTTCTAAATACTTTAAAATTGAACTTGAAATAAATAGTAATTAATAGTATAAGTGAAAACTGAAAGGGAAAGAATGTTTTTAATTTCTTTTTGCACTCAAAA